AGTGGGTGTGGTTTTTTGGTTATTTAGAGAGTGCTCCTATCCAACAGATGTCACTGTTCCCCTAAAGTCATCTCTGATTTTCCAACAGATGTCTACCCCAGGCCGAAGCCGCCCCCTCCTAGGCCACATCCTGGCAGTTATGACAACAGCGGAGGTGAGACAATGAGTGTTAAGATGCGTTTCAGTGTTTGGTTGCGACTTTCTCTTTAATGAGTGGAAATTCCAACCTTGGTTATACACTGCCCAGCAGTAAACCTGTCACCGTGGCACCGGCAGACTGACGGCGGGCTGACGTGTGTTGACGTAGAGCTGTGCCCCAGGCGGTTCCCAGGGAGTGATTTCTCTAAAGCAGACCGCGTGGCCTATGTCCTGAGGGACCTCTGTGTGCACTTGAACCCTCAGCTTTTAGTGCGTCTGCCGTTTGCACGAGGGACTCCATGTCTTAAACCCACTGGAGGCTGCCAAGTCGACCTCGACTCCCGGGGCCCACATGGACGTCAGAGTACAGCTGTGGTCTGTGGGGTTTTCAATGGAGGAGTTTACAGGTGGCCAGGACTTTCTTCCAAGGATCACACACACTTTGTCTCATGACATTGACTTCAATTTCCCACAATGCAACAGCGCCCCTCTCACTTCCTCCTGATAGCTACCTCTTCCCTGTGTCCATCCCTCCATGCTCTCCTGCCCCCTGAGCTGTCTCCCTGTGCACACACAGCCCTCTTTCTCCCATGATTGATCTCTCCAAGGAGTGTGTCTATCTAATATAATATAAATGTTCAGCTCCTAGGCCTGTCATTTGTTTGCCTGGAAGCCACAGGAGTGGGTTCAATTTCAGACCCAAAGGGCAGCTAGGGGCCAGAGTCTCAGGGGTTCCACCAGGCTCTATCGGACCAGCAAACCCGGTCCGTTTGGGACCATCTTAAATGCTGCCTGTGAATGGCCTGCATCCCCGATGCCTCCTGGCTCCTGGAGAAGACAGCTTCCTAAATTATCCCTCAAAGTATAAAGAATGGCAGAAACTTTCAGCTTCAAAATTGTTGTTGTTGTTGTTATGTGCCGTCGAGTTAAACCCGACTCATAGCGACCCCTCCTTGGGTTTCTGAGGCAGTATCACTACAGAAGTAGGACTGCCCAACCTTCCTTCC